TTTCGGGGGGGGAAGGGCCCCCCCCCCCCCCCCCCGGGGGGGCCGGTTTGTTCTTGCTCCTGCCTATGCAGTTACTGCTGGCAAATTTTGGAGTCCATTGTTTGGTTACCCCAGTGTTATGCGTAGGTGCTGTGGAGGGACACGTTTTATTCGTATTATTAAGCCCCGCCCCTTTTTTTTTGTCTAAGGGCAGAGGCGCAAACAGTGGCGATTTTGTGTTGGGACCGCGGACATTGGCATGTTGGTGGTGGTGGTCGGTCGTTACCTTTGAACCTATCCCGTTGAGTGGTTGACATCCATGAGCGCATTCCGCCGGCAAAGCTTGCGTGCTCGTGCAAACATGCGGGGAGGGGAGGGGATGGGGGGGGGGGGGGCGTGTAGCACCCGCGGCAAGGCCAGCCGTGGTTTTTGTCCTGGCCGAAGGTTGAGCCTTGGCGACCCGTGATTTTTTTTGTGGTGTTCCGGGGATAGAGCATAGTCGGCTAGTCGAAAGCGTAGATTGACGATGCGCTGCTGTTGTTTTCCCGGCCACTCAATCAATTGTATCGGGGTTCGGGTGTTCAGTTTTTCGGTGGTGTCGTGTTTTGACGACAGCAGGGTTTCCCTCACTAACCATGAGCGACCACACTCCTTTTCTACTTCGCCGGTGGAGGCCTTCTCTTTCGGCTTCTTCTCCACCTCGGTAGACACGCGCTCTTCTTTTTTTTTCGTGTCATGCGGGCACCGCGGACAACGCCACAAACCGTAACTTTCCAACAGCAGCAGTCGCGTCAGTTTCCAAGCGTGTAGTGCGCCTTTGGCAGAACACACAGCAAACCATGGGTCTACCAGGTGCGTATGTGAGGGCGTGGACAGCAGCCACGCACACACGCGCGCAAGGTAGACTTTCTTTTTCTTCTCTCGTGGAAAACCTTGGGTGGCGTTTTCCAGCACGAGACGGGGTCTCTCTCAGATAGGAAATGGTTCACCTTTTCAACCCGTTTTGTGCAAGCGGGGCGAAACATTGTGGGCGTAAGACTCGTCTCTAAAATACCGTGTGCATGAGATTGACAATGTCTAGCAAGGCTATCATGAAGGTGACAATAGGGTAGGCGCTCCCGACATGACAGAGCCACAGCAGTGGCTCCCTCCGTGGCAGGCGGATGTTCTTGAGTGTCATGCGGTGCCCACGAGGCCACCGTAATATTGTTGTGGGTACTTACAGTAGTTTGGACGAGCTGCGCATTTCCCTTTGCGCCCGCAACACGATTGTCGTTCCTCGGGCTTGGTTTATCTCGCGCATGTTTTTGAGCGAGCAAACACAACGAGGTGTGTTTACTTGTGGTCACCGTGTGGTCATACATCAATCATCGTTTCGTGCACAAATTGGACCAGTGTCGTCGGGTACTGGGAGAGTTTCAGTCACTCCCGTTGAACTGAAGACAGCGAAAGTCAACGAGGTGTTTAGTGAGGATTGATCTAAACATGGTGACGGGCGACACCTCGCCGACAAAATGTCTGGTGGCTGTAAACCCGGTTTGTGCGCGATTCCGTCCAGTAAATAAAGAAAAAAACATTCCTCACGTATGTAAGAATCCCCAACTTAACACATCCGGTGGAGCCTACAATTTTATAAAGACCCGTCATTGCTCCTCTCTTTGTCACAAACTGGTGAAATACGGAGAGGGTTGCGTTTTGCCGTACGCTCCTCAACCAACCATGTTCAAATCCGATATTTAGACGCGGACCCCCCACACTGGACGCCTTAACCGAAATCGATGATGATGTCTCTATAATAGTCTCCAACATCAAGAAGCATGCAAAAAGAGAAAAAAAATGGGATAGAACGATCCGCACGAAAAATTACAAAAAAAATCACGTGGGTAATCTACAAACAATGACGCCGCCACCTCCGCACATGCCGTGGTGATTCCCGCCGTGTGCTGCACTATACCGGGGGGGGGGGGGGGGGGGGGGGGGTCCATTAAAAAAAAAATTTTTTTAAAAAAAAATTTTTGGGGAAGGGAAAAAAAAATTTTTCCCCCGGGGAAATTTCCCCCCAAAATAAAAACCCGGGGCCCCCTTTTAACACTTAAAAAAAAAACCCCCCCGGCCCCCCCCCAAAAAAAAAAAAAAACCTTTTTTAAAAAAAAAACCCGCCTAAAACCTTTGGCCGGTTTAAAAAAAAAATGCACCCAAAACAAACCCCAAAAAAAAATTTTAAAAAATTTCCAAAAAATCAATTTCCTTTTTTGGGGAAAAAAAAAATCCAAAAAACCCTTTTACCCTCAAAGGTTTAAACCCTGCCCACTTGTTTTTCCCCGGAAAAAAAAAGGGCCAAAAAAAAACCAACCAAAACAAAACAAAACTAGCTCCCAAAAGAAAAAATTCCCTGCCGCTATTCAA